CCGATTTGCTTTATGAAACGTCGCCTATCACACGACCGGATATCAGTTTTTCGATAAGAATTTACGCTCGCCATTGTGACATTTGATGTTTATTTCTATGTAGCTTTTATCTAAATTAAAAGTATTTTCAAAAGATTCGCCAATGGATGCGATGGCAAAGATAGATAATAAAAATGTCAAAACCAGTTCTCTTGCCCGGCGCATCCACCATTTGCGACAATATTGTATAATTCTAATAAAATTTAATAACGCTACAAGTTTAAATAACTTTTCTAATTATGAGAGAAAGTTTTGGGGATATCGTCAAAGTACACCTTTCATGCATAGGTAGTGTGAAAGGTGTTTACCTCACTAAAACCACTGCATAATACTCTAGGAGTATGCGCTCACCCGCAATTTAATTATAATGCGGATACGCTAGTCACTCATTCTTCTAGAAAGTAAATATAAAATTTGTTACAAACTGTATATGGATAACAAGACGTCGACAGTGACGAGGCAATGGTAAAGCGATGAAAAGAAACTTTAATAAATGGAAACTTTATTAAAAACAATATCTTGTTTTTAAGTTTAAAGAAAAAAGCAGAAAAAAATGTAATGTTTTATACATTAACAATGCCTAATAAACTTGCATATTATTACATTCTTCAAATACAAGATAAAAACAAGTTGTATTTTTTAATGTAATTGTATAAATATAACTTTTTCTTCTTTGCGTTCGTACTAAGGCCAGTACGAAACGGTTTTGTGTATCGTACTGAACAAAAACAGTGCTATAGAAATTATACTAAAAAGAGGGAAATTTAGTCTTATAATGTTGGCGGCCTTACTTTTTCTCTATCGAACTGTCAGTGTCAATTGGCCTAACACAAATGAAATTAATGAAATACGAAATTTTTGTTGTGATTGGTTTAATTAAACATTGCAAAAAATATTCAGAATTAACATTATGATTATAAGAGTGCTTACGCATAGCTTTAGGTCACAGGACAAAGTAAAATAAAAAGTACTTACTGCTACTAAGTTTCAAATTAATTTATTTCATGACCACCTAGCTACCAGGCAATGTTGTCAACTGTCGTAAAATTCCCTATTCCGAAAATTTTTGTTTTAAAAAGTGGAAAGTAGAAAAAATACTGTTTGATAACTCGTTTATAAAGCATTTTGTCGCACTTACTTTTTATGACACTCCTAGCTGCGCTCGTCGTGTTCTAAACCCGTGCGTACAACAAAACGCTTCTTATAAAACTCGTATCATAATAAACTCTTATAACAGTACCATATAAATAAATTTAAACAAGAAATAATTTCATTTATTACAAATTTTCAATAATCCACCTTGATTATAAAATATTAATTAATTTTATAAAGTTAATTGTCCAAAATCAAAAACAGAGGCCCACAAAGCATGCAATAACATTTTAATTAAACTAAAAATTATTTACAATTTGTTTTGAACA